GAAAATAGATGGTACTCAAATTTACAGGGCTTAGATCAAGCATTGCCTATGCAACTGCAAATAAAATACTATGGTTTTAATAACATTTATTATTATATGGTTCTATTATATATACAATCGAGGCCTGGTACACAAAATTCATGCTTGGGCAGGGGGTCTCCTCAGCCTGCCCTGCACCCTCTCCAGTCCAGGACCCCTTGGGGATGTCTGACTGCGGTTTAGGCCCAGTCACAGAGATCAGGCCTAAACCATCAGTTGGACATCCCTCTCGCAATTCTGGACCGCTGGCTCCTAATCGCTCACCCGCCTTCCTGTTTGGTCACCCCTAACTTCCCTCCCTTCTGGCCTGATCACCCCTTACTGCCTCTGTGTGCCAGCCTGATTGCCCTTAACTGCTCCCCGCTGCAGGCCAGGTTGTCCCCAACTGCCCCCTCCCTGCCAGCCTGGTTGCCCCCAACTATCCCCCCCATTGGCTTGGTCACCTCTCCCTGCCCCCCCTGTCAGCCTAATTGCCCCCAACTGCCTCTCCCCTGGCCCGCTGGCCTGGTTACCCCCAACTGCCCCCTCCTTGCTGGTCTGGTTGCTTCTCACAGCCCACACCCACTGGCTTAGTTGCCCCATACAGCCTGCTTGTTCAATCATTTGGTCATCCCACACTAACCCCCCTGCAAGCCTGGTCATAGGCATCCATCTTGTGAAGGTGTGAGGATCAATTTGCATATTATTTCTTTAATATATAAGATATACATATATATGCATATATATATAATACATGTATGAACAGATTTTTTTCTATGGATTCTCACATGAAGATTAACAACATAAAAGATATACCTAAATTGAGGCCTGAGGGACTGGGACATGTTTAAATTATATTGTTTTATATATGCTTATGCATTATTTAAATATATTTTAATTTTACTCATTAAAAGAGTGCAAATAGATTAGCTTTGAAAATTCTGGAATAAGACTCACACATAAAAAAGCTATCTTCATTATCATGACTTATTTGTAATTTATTATTCTTTAATCTAGTAAAAAAAATACTATGATTTTTTCCATGTATTTTTATATTTTATTGGATTCTTGAATAGGTTTATCTCATGGTTCTTATATTAAGATTAATAATCTAAAACATATATATAGGTTGAGGTTTGAGGGACTGGGAAATGTCTTAATCATATAATAATCTCTCTATGTGCCTAACATAAAAGACACCCCTACCATTTAATGAACAAATATATGATGAAGGTAGCTTACTTCTGCATACTTCTACTTAAACTACACTAGTTAGAACCGTAATTAACTTGTAATAAAAACCTCCATTCTAAGAAAAAGTTTATAAAACAAAGTAGAAAAAAATCTATTCCAATTGGCAATTTCTCAAATAAACTTAAAAGTTCAAGACTGAACTAGGTGTAGCTTCTCTCTAATAATAAGCAACTGTCATGTGTTCAATGATTAGCCATCTCTGATATACTAATATATTAATCATACCTCATTACAACTGGTGATATAGTTATTGGGAGGGGCCAGGGTTTATCACCTGTTTATTTAGATATCATTATAGTGTTATCATCAAAGATGCCGCCTCTAAAAGATGACATAATTCTCAGACTTAATTAATAATATACACAAGTGGCACTTTGAAGGGGCAATATTACAGATTATATTTGCTTTATTGAGCAGAATATTGGAGGCTGTGTAGACAGAAAGATATAAGACTGAAATTTATTTTTATATAGTAGATCTTTTTGGTCTTTGATAATGTAGTTAGTCTGTTATATTGAGCTGAGTTAAGTTGTAAGAATGAAATAGCAGCTTAGACCCAAGAAGAATGCAAGCAGGAAATACGTGTGTGGGAATATAGAAAGGATTTTTTTTTTCTGCTAAAGAAACTGAAATGCTTCGCCTATTAAGTCATGAAATATTCACTGGTTTACAGCTGCTTCTCCATACTTTTCTAATGGCCAGTTCATCCAACAGGGCAAGTTGTTTTCTAATGCAAATATTTCACACACTTTTACCTGCCATCATTCTATGCATGACAGATTTCTTCTTTCTTTCATGTCTAAGCAAAAATGTTACCTTCAGAGAAAGGACTTTCTCATTCACTCTTTCTAAGTAGTCTTCTCTTCCAACCCAATCCATACCTTTTTAAAAATATATATATTTTTTACTGATTTTTTTTTTTTTTTTTTTTTTTTTTTACAGAGAGGAAGGGAGAGAGTGAGAAACAGGTGAGAGAGAAACATCGATCAGCTGCCTCTTGCACACCCTCTACTAGGGATGTGCCTGCAACCAAGGTACATGCCTTTGACCGGAATCGAACCTGGGACCTTTCAGTCTGCAGACCAACAATCTATCCACTGAGCCAAACTTGTTAGGGATTACCTTTTTATTTTTGATCATGGACATCTTATTCATTGCCAGGACCAGCCTGGCGGTTGAACTGGGCTGAGGTAGGGAGGTGGGAATTGAGAAAATAAAGAAAGGCAGGAAAGCGGGGTCGGGAGGACTGCAGGTAGCCATTGACTGACTGTAGCAAGTTTATTAACTGCACAATGCTTTTTATACACAAAACACTGAATAGGAGGTCTGTCTAGAGGAATGTATTCTTTGTTCCTCTTAATCTCTAAAGGACAGAGCAGAAGAACAAATTCTTGGTATAGCAAATCTCAGCCAATAGCTACAGACTTCTTGGTAAGCCCCGAAAAATTGCTCTCATTCTACTGATAGTAGCCATCCAAACAAGTCTGAGAAAACTGTGGGTAGGGGGCCAGCCTTGCTAGCCCTTTGAATGCAAAGACCTTGTCATCTTACATCCTGTCTCCAACAATTCATCTTCCTCCTAGCTCTTATCACCACTTGTAAGAGTCTCTATGTTTTCTGGTTTTATCTGTCTCCCCTTAGCACTATAACAACAAAGATCATGTATTTGTATTTTATTCACTATGTACTCAGTAACTACTAGTACCTAAAAGATGGTAGATGTTTATGAAATACATGTTTGTTGAGTATTTAATATAATACTTTATGTTTTAGAATTCTTCAGCTTTTTAATGCAAATTATTGGAATACTTTTCTAGATCAAGGATCTAGACTAAGGTGACCAGATTTTAACATTGGTAAAGCGGGACACCATTGACCAGGGGTGGGGGGGTGGGGGGTATGGAGGAGGTTATTGATTAAAGATTTGGTCTATATGGAACAACAAAAATTTTCATAGAACGCAAAAATGGTATTTTAATATTTTTTAAAATTTCAACATAAGTACAATTTGTGATACAAATATAATAAATAAATAAATTATGTATAGTATTATTTTATTCTTTGGCATATTTCTCATTTGAGTGAATTCTAACAACTAATCAACAATGAGAACTTTGATAAGCAGTTCTCAATAATCAGTTCTCAACAATTATTTGTTATTATTAAAGTTTAACATTATAAAATTAACAAAAATAATATAAAACTTATATCCTAGCTAAATAGCCATATAAGACTTGCAATTTTTGGACATACTTTAGGAGACCATAAATTATTTGAGGGCCAAAGACATATTTTATGTATTTTTGTTTCCAATGATAATTATTAGTTTTGAATTCTTTTGTTTTATTTTGTATTTTCACATGCTACTTTTTCCTCTTCTTTTTCCTTTTTTATACCTGGAGAACTTTTATCACATAAAGTTTTAATCATGTTGCCTTCTTGATAAAAATCTCCCAACACTTGCAGCCCTCCAAAAGGTTGTTTTCCTTGTACAAAGTTTTATTTTGGCATAGTTCACACTATACATTAAATACTTGTTTTCTCATTTATATCTTTTTCATTTATTTATTTTTAAAATTTTTATTACTTATTAATTTTGAGAGAGAAGGGAGAGAGAGAGAGAGAGAGAGAGAGAGAGAGAGAGAGAAGAGAGAGAGAGAGAGAGAGAGAGAGAGAGAGAGAGAGAGAGAGAGAGAGAGAGAGAGAGAGAGGAGAGAGAGAGAGAGAGAGAGAGAGAGAGAAGAGAGAGAGAGAGAGAGAGAGAGAGAGAGAGAGAGAGAGAGAGAGTTCAATTTGCTGTTCCACTTATTTATGTTTTCATTGGTTGCTTCTTGTATGTGCTCTGACCAGAGATTAAATCCATAACCCTGGCAATATTGGGATGATGCTATAACTAACTGAGCTACTCAACCAGGCCAGTATCTCTTTTTAAAGTGTGGGTGTCCTATGGACAAAGAGAATATCTTAAAATTTTTTATAGCTATATGGCTCTAGAACAGTTTCTGAAACATTATTATAATGATGTAGGTACTATTTTAAGGATTTTCTTAAAGCATTGCCTACTTTAATGAATTAGAGTTTAAAAATATGTTAGATAAAATTAAAAAAGTAATGCTTTCAAAAAAAATCTCACTTGGGGGGTCTGAAAATAAAGTAAATAATGCCAACTTTTAAGTTGGCTTAAAATATTTTAGGGTGGGCTGGAAATGCCTGAGTTGGAACAGGTAAAAGTCAAGTGAAAATAAAAAGTCTTCACGGGGACTAGAATCTTATCAAGTATAATTCCTAATTTGTGATTTCACAGGGAGGTACTAATAAAATGTGAAGAACCAAGATCAGATCTTCAAAAGTAATGTTTCTATTTTTGAAACACACCGTTAAGAGATTTTAAAATGCATTAAATTTAAAAAATGCATATTAAGATACTTTATTTTTAATTAAACACAACTGATGAGCTTATTACATAACTTTGTTGCCAAAAACCCAAATTTCAAATTGCCAACACATCAGACAGAATGCAGTGGAAATATATTCCCAGTTGAGCTTTAAGTAAAACTTACATTGTGAATGGGATGTTGGGGAGGGTATACAAATTAAAACCTTGTGTTCTTTTCAATATCTAAGTATACTATTGTTATTTAGCAGTATAAACTATTTCTGTAGAGTAATAAAGTAAAGCCACAATGATTATTTTTTCTCTTACTGTTTATTCCTTTCCATTATCACAGACCAGCTCAGTTTACAAAAGCTGATGATTACCCTCCAGTTGAATTTCAAAGAAGACAGCAATTTTGGGACCCTATTCGGCTAGCCCTTTTCATATTGGTAATTGTAGCAATCATAGGAATTACGATTGGTATTGTTAGTCATTACGTTGTTGAGGGTAAGTATCCAGGTCACATTTCTATTGCCTAAGTGCTCCATGACTGAATATCTTAAAATTCTCTGTTGTATAAAAAAAAGTCATTTGCATGATATTAACATTTTAATTACTAATGTTTTACTGATGTTAAATTATAGTTTGCTCCAGTATTGAGCTCTGTCTTACATATTTCCAACCAGTGAAGCTTGCAATATGGATAGGCACATGTCAAAGAAATACATATTTAAAAAGAGAAAGAATGAAAGATTATCTTCAGAATAAAGACAAATTACATCATGAACTGAGTTTAACATTCTTTCCTCAGAACCAATACATTGAGTTGCCCCCAAGAAAAGTTGATAATATGAGGAAAGTTACCTAAAAAATGTTTGTAAAGGGTTAAAAATCAAACATTATTTTTGAAGGAAGAGGAGATTGTTTCATGGTTGGGGGAAGAAGAGAAAATTTAGAAATAATTTCACCTTAGGTACAAAAATGGATAGTTAATACAACAGATAAGCCAAATGACAATCAACTAAGATTGATTTGATATGTGTATTTATAATCATATGATTGAGAGTTTGTCTAAAATTTTACAGAAGTATATGACTTACAACAATAAAACCATACTTAAAAAACCTATAGGAAGAGATGAATATTATTCAACATGCCCAGCTTAATTTTCTACCTACTTTATTGGGGGATTGATAATATCCATTTCTTAGACTCTCATAAAATAAAAGGAGAAACCAAATTACCCCATCAATTGTGTTTTTGTTGTTAATATTTTTTTTTCTTTAAGTTAAAATGTAGTGACTTAGTTTTGTTTTTAAAATGTACTACATCCCAAAAAAAGAAAAATTGAGGATATAATAAAAATAATAGCAAAAAAGCACTTTACAAGATATCATAGAGCTTGTGGGAGGCTGAATAATGGCCCTCTCGTAAGGTATCCATGTCTTAATCCTTACAACATGTGGATGTTACCTTATATAGCAAAAGGGACTTTGCTGATGTGATTAAACTGAGGACTCTAAGAGAAAGTAGTTATTCTGGATTTTCGGATGAGCCATAAATGCAACTGGAATGTTTTATAAGAAAGAGTCAAGAACGTTAAAGAAGGAAGAAGGCCATGTGGCAAAAAAGCTGGAGGAATAGGAGACAATATGAAATGTGACCACAAGCCAAGGAATGAGTATAACCTCTAAAAGTGGACAAAAGGAAAAAAACAAAAACAAAAAAGATTCTCCTCCCCTTAGAAGGCTCAGAAGGAACCAGCTCTGCCAGCATGTAGCCCTGTAAAACTCATTGCAGACTTTTAACTTCCAAAACTATAAGAGAATGAATTTGTGTTCAAGCCACTGAATTTATGCAAATTTGTTATAGCAGCAATAGGAAACCAATACAGAGGTTAATACTTAAGAATTTGAGAAATCCATGACATGGATCTTCCATGCAGTTCATTGTGACTTGCCTGATTGTAGATAGAAATTTAGTAAAACAAAGGAGAAGTCTATGACAAAGGATAAGCAAGTGGAAGAAGATAAAATAGAGGTGTCTAAAATAACACACACATTCAAAAAGTAATTTACATATTTTTTATTATTTTTTTAATATATTTTATTGATTTTGTACAGAGAGGAAGGGAGAGAGACAGAGAGTTAGAAACATCGATGAGAGAGAGTCATCGATCAGCTTGCCTCTTGCACACCCCCTACTGGAGATGTGCCTACAACCAAGGTACATGCTCTTGACTGGAATCGAACCCTGGACCCCTCAGTCCCCAAGCCAACGCTCTATCCATTGAGCCAAACCGGTCTCGGCATATTTTTTAGCATAAGGAAATCAAAACAAGTCAATGAAGAAAACCATATTGCAGTAACCAAGATGATCCCAAGAAGAAGAAAAAAATAATTTTAAAATAGTAATTTTAAAGAGTGGACATAAGAAAGAAGAGTTAAAAATAGTAAAATGTGTGAAATAATTGAAAAGGAAGTAAGGATTTTTGTCAGACTTAATGATAAAATTAACATCACCAGGATTAAAGTGTATTTGATGGAGTTATTTTTGTCCTAAAGATCTAAACTTTTACTGTGTGTAATTCTAACCAATTATTTACTCTCTGATATATAATAATTTTAAAAATAAAGATTATAAAATAATATAGTGACTTTTAGAGTATGAATGGTCTGTCAGTGTTCTCCAACCAGGATCTACCAGGAACACATCTGTAGTGGGTTTATTGCCTGTTCAGGGAAGGAAAGCACATGCCCATGGTTTACTAATTAAATACTAAGTGCCAGACAATTAATATCTATAACTTTTTTGTTGCTCATCATAATGGCTGAGGACTAGAGACAAGAAACTGATGATACTTAGCAGTGATTTTTTTTGTTTATTTTTGCCTTTCAGATGACAAGTCATTTTATTACCTTGTCTCTTTTCAAGTCACAAACGTAAAATACAGAGAAAATTATGGAATAAAAACCTCAAAAGAATTTACACAAAGGAGTCATCAGATTGAGAGAGTGGTAAGCCAAACAGAAAATTTTAAAGTATATAAATGTGTTTTTCTGTCTTACTTTGAATGTGGTTATTGTAGTTACTTTGCCTCTCCATGCTTCACTATCTTTTTCTATGAAATGAGAATAATATAGTATCTAGGTTATATGACTAAGAAGATTAAATAACTTACTGTATATAAAATCCTATCTAATCAAAGAGTAATATGCAAATTAACCATCATCCAACACACAAGATGGCTGCCATGTGGTCAAATATGTGGACACAAGATGGCTGCCGCAAGATGGCCAGCAGGGGAGGGCAGTTAGGAGGGATCAGGCCTGCAAGGGAGGGCAGTTAAGGGTGACCAGGCTGGCAGAGGAGGGAAGTTAGGGGCAACCAGGCCTGCAGGGGAAGGAAGTTGGGGGGGACCAGGCCTGCAGGGAGGGCAGTTGGGAGGACCAGGCCTGCAGGGAAGGGTAGTTTGGGGAAATCCAGACCTGCAGGGCAGAGCAGTTGTGGGGAGGGACCAGACCAGCAGTTAGGGGCAATGAGGCTGGAAGGGGAGGGCAGTTAGGGGTGACCAGGCCAGCAGGGGGAATCAGGTTGGCAGGGAGTAATTAGGCATCAATCAGGCTGGCAGCAGAGTGGTTAGGAACAGGCAGGCAGGCGAGTGGTTGGGAGCCAGCAGTCCTGAATTGTGAAAGGGATGCCTGACTGCCTGTTTAAACATGTAGTCAGACATCCCTCCAGGAGTCCCAGATTGAAGAGGGTACAGGCTGGGCTGAGGGACACCCTCAACCTCCATGCATGAATTTTGTGCACCGGGCCTCTAGTATTTAAAATAATATTTCATACTATTACAAGTATGTAGTTAGAGTAGGCAACAAATTAAGATCTGAGGGGATTATTGGTTGAGACAGATGTTTTCCCTATTTTTAACTTGATTTAATTTCTTGATTCATTTTCCTTTATCATTTTTAAAAATATATATTTTATTGAGAGAAAGAGAGAGGGACAGAGAGCTAGAAACATCGATGAGAGAGATGAGAGAGAATCATCGATCAGCTGCCTCCTGCAACACCCCTACTGAGGATGTGCCCGCAACCAAGGTACATGCCTTTGACTGGAATCGAACCTGGGACCCTTTAGTCCGCAGGCCGATGCTCTATCCACTGAGCCGAACAGGTCTGGGCTCCTTTATCATTTTTTAACATGAGAATTAGGATGGTCATATTGGCCTTATCATTTTATTTTGCTTTTAAATGTATCACATACAAGAATGTATGTCTTTAATTCTTCAGTCTGCAGGCTGACATTCTATCCACTGAGCCAAATCGGTTTCAATGTCTTTAATTCTTGGGCCGAAAATTAATAATGTCCCTGAAATATTTTGTTTGCCTTTGAAAACATGCATTTATCAAGGCATTTATATTTTTAAAAAATATATAAGATAAGCTAAATTTTTACCTCTCATAGTAGGAAGTCAAATAGAATAGTGTTCCACTTTTGCTCTCATGAGAAGTATGTCTGTGGAGACCATAGATTTGTTAGAAAATAAGTATTTTAGCCCTTTTAGCTTATGAGACCTATTAGGGAAAAAGAAGTAATATGTCTATAGAAAAGCAATCTGTCTATGATGGCTATAGATACTATCTCTTTAAAATATATATTTTCACTGATTTTAGAGAGTAAAGGAGAAGGAGAGAGATATATTGTAGAAGTATCAATGATGAGAGAGGATCATTGATTGGCTGGGAATGGAACCATGACCTGCTGGCTCATAGGTGGACCTTCAACTATGGAGCCACGCCAGCCAGGCAACACTATCTATTTTTAAATATATTTTTAAATATATATATATATATATATATATATATATATATATATATATATATATAATTGATTTCAGAGAGGAAGGGAGAGGGAGAGAGATAGAAACATCAATGAGGAGAGAGAATCATAGATTGGTTGCCTCTGTGCACTCCACACGGGATTGAGCCTGCAACCCAGGCATGTGCCCTGACCCCTAGAATGGTCCCATTCCAATGAACCATGACCTCCAGGTTCACAGGTTGATGCTCAACCACTGAGCCAAGTCAGCTGGGCTAGACACTATCTCTTAATTAAAAGATGGGTACTTAGCCCTCCAGCACTTCCACTGCTTTCATGTTTTTCTGAATTATTAGCAATGGTGGAAAGTGTTAGCATTTTATTTAGTTATCTGAATATGGGTAAGCTTTAAGAAAAATACAGGTGTGAGCTGTTATCAATCAAGACTTACAGAAGCTGGGGCATGTCTTTCCAAAAGTTTGGGTAGGAGACTTGGTTAGTTTGATTTAAAATGTTAAAAATCCATAAGTAGTATTTTCCTTTCCAAAGCTATTTACTATTTGTCATGTAACTTAATAGTATTTTTTACAATTATGTTGCAACAATTCTCACTTTATTGGTTGGTGGTTTTATTCAGAATTATGTTTATATTATGTTAAACACAAATAATGATTTGACACATAATGACACATAATGATTTGACACTTGTGTTTATTGTGAAATGATTACCACCATAAGCCTGCTTATATCACGGATAGTTATAATTTTTTTCTTTTAAGTCATGATGAGAACTTTTAAGATCTAGTCTCTTGGCAACTTTCATATTATAGAGAAGGCCCTTCAATAATGTTGGTTTATTGTAAGGTTGATGAGATGCCACAGAAACTTAATTCTTATTTATATCAATTAGCCGATGATAAAATTGGTTTCCCTTAAAAATCACAAAACCTATCAAAATGTTAAGTGTAAACTTACTATTCAATATAGTATTATTACCTATAGTCACCATGCCATAAATTACATCCCCATCACTTATTTATTTATAAATGGAAGTTTGTACCATTTGACTACTTTCACCCATTTTACACCTCCTTTCCACCCCCGACCCCTTCCATTCCAGCCCCCAAAGTGATTTCTACATTCTCCTTGAGAACATCAGGTAGTTAGTGCATTCCTGGTATTATTAAGGTCAGTTCTCTAAAAACATATTTGCTTACATAAAAGTAAAATAAAAATAGAAGTTCTGATATTTTCCACACCCTCTATGAAACATTGGCTTCATTTTGGAAATTAATGCTCAGAATAATCAAAAAAGCTAATCTATAAAGGATATGACAATTATTATTGTTGGATAGAAGGATGACTTCATTTACTGTGCAGAATTTTCAATATGGAAAGACTACTGATGTTGGCTCTATAGCTTTCTAACCTTCTGTCTTAAAAATAGCTTCCCATGTGGTTTACCTAGGTTTAGGATTCAATCCTATGTCAGGGCACATATGGGAGGCAATTGCTCTCATGTTGATCTCTCTCTCTTTCTCTCTCTCTCTCAACCTCTCTCTTTCTTTCTAAACATATCCTCAGGTGGGGGTTAAAAAAATAGCTTCCCATTAGAACCCTCTTTTTTGTGCTCTGTATGTTCTAAAACTGCAACAACTAAGCTTGAATCTTTAAAAAGTTTTTCTCTATCTCCCCTCCTCCCCCTTTAAAGAAGGAATAAAATATAGGAACATCTCTGGAGATACATAATATTATCTCTAAAGACATTTAAGTTCATTACATTTTTTTCCTGGTTACAAGCTCAAAATTTCATCTAAAAATTGAAGATGTTTGGTCGCTGACCTTCTAACGAATGGGCACATGGAAACAAATGTATAGCAGAGCATTCTCTAGTGCCAACTTATTTATCCCTGCATAGGTGGGATCCCAAAACAATAGTCTGTGATGAAGACTCTTGGTTATATGATTTATTAACCAAAAGCTTTCAGAAAAATCTTGTAAGAATGTGAGGGGAACAGAAAAGGACAAAGTCAGAAGCTAGACAAAGAGACAGTTTCAGAAGTGCAGCCTTAGCCTGATTTCTGAGATCTTGATCCTAAATTACAGCACTATTGGTTCTGCCCAGAGATAAGAGGGCTGGGCTGTTTGTGTTATGACAACAAGGGCTGCCCAGGGAAGGGAAGCATAAGCTACCAGCCATCACTGAGAAATGTGCTCAGGTCAGATAAGGGTAGGCTTCAGGAGAAATACAGGTGTGAGCTGTTATCAATCAAGACTTACAGAAGCTGGGGCATGTCTGTCCAAAAGTTTGGGTAGGAGACAAATGTCTGCTACAGTTCCTCTTTTGTAACAATTCATCATCATTTAAGTGAACTTATTCTTAAGGAATGTATTAAGAGGAAAACATTTTTGTTTTTACTTGATCATAGACAGTAAAGTTTCCATTGACGTACTAGCATGCCTCCAATTCATCTGAGGTATGATTCTTCCTTTGTTTCTCTTTCTTCTGTTGCTCCATAAATGACCTCATTGTTTCTCCTGATAGATGGAACACTTTAGATAGAAAAATAATAGAAACACAATTAAGGAGTCAAAGAAAAAAAGAATAAAAGAGAGAAGTAGGCAGGGCAGGAGGGAAGATAGTGAAGGAGAGAGGAAAGGAAAGAGGGAGGGAGGGAGGAAGGAGAGGAACATGGGTGATATCTGTAATACTATCAAAATTTAAAACATATTTAAAATGAAAAAAAAGAGAAAATACAGTAAAACATTGTGCTTGTGGCAGATAAAAAAGCTAAAAGCTATATATTTTTTTGGCATTTTACTGAAGCAGAAAAAGAAAAATTTCCTTGATAGTCCTTGGAGGAAAGTATGGAGAACCAATCTAGTTGGCCAAATTTGGAACACCTGCCCATCCCTACAATAATCACTTTGAATAAGAGAATAAAATCATGTCACCCTTGTGGGAGATAGAGCAGGAAACCAATGATAGCTCCATTAGAATGGTATAGAATTAGTTCTCTATAGGAAAGAGAGGTCCTCTTAGCAGAAAAAAAAGGGGGAAGTATGATAGATATACAATCGCTCTAATTCCAAAATTTTAATGACTAATCCAGATTTCTCTGAACCCCAGATTTGTGAGGTCCATTGTCTATATGACATTTCTGCTTGGATCTCTCACGGGCACCTCAGAGTTATC